ATGGATAGAATCTGCTTCCAAAGACAAAAAATTTCTAACTTCTAAACGTTATATATAATATAATATACATAATTTACATTATATTAAGAGGAAATTTGCAGACTTAGTAGAATGAACTTTAATAATGGTGTGGTATTTGATCTGCAACTATTACAGACCTATATTTTTTTTATGATAAAGAAAGTGTAACACAGACTGTCAATTTTAATCACTAAAGTAACATGATGAACAATTTGATTTGAAGATATAGAATTGGAATTTATGTGGTCTTATTAAGGTCACCGCAGTAGCCATAGTTCGTAAAACACGACCTATTATAAAATCACGTTCATGTAAACAATCTTCAAATTCCCACCAAAGTTTTGAAACTTATTGACGTACATCTGTTAAGTTATGAACAAGTTATTACCAGCTATATCTCCATAACCCATCGAGAATAACCACACAAGCAATCACCACTACAAGATGTCTCATGGAGGACATTTTAATAATGTTGTATACGTATTGTACTAAGATTAACACATAAAGATAAATGAATAGAGAAAACAATAAGGAATAATCACAACCGCAACTCTCCTCCTTCCAAATCACCTTGTAAGAGTTGATTGCTTAATGGAAAGTTTTCTAGTTCTTACAATATTAATTTTATAACAACTTCAAAACATTCGATTTCACTGTATTTAATCTCAACTTAATCTTAGCATAGTCTTAATATTTGTATTGGTTTAAAACACTGTTCAGATTTAGATCTCATAAAATAGTTTACACACATCTAAAGGATGGAGCCCTGAAATTATTAACAAAAACTGGCAGACTTACCAACACTGCGTTATCGAATCTCAGAAAAGTTACACGCTCCTCGGGGAGGTATGCAGATCTGATGTCAATTATTGCTTAGTCTGATGAAGTGATAAGCCATAATCCAGTCAAGATGTAGAGAGGGGTATGTAGAAACCTCGCTGTTAATAGAGAGTAAAAGTGCTCAAGTGCACTGACTCAACGAACCTCAACATAACACATCTTTAAATATATGTTATGAATATTATAAGTATTTTAAATCTATACTTGGGTTGAATAAATGTGAAACCTGGAGACAATCTTCTGTAGTTACATTTAAACTTTTCATTCGGATTATTTTTATGCAAGTTTAAATTGTAAAATGTTAACATTCTCATATGTATATCTTGTAAAATGGAATGTGTCTCATTGTTTATCATCAAAAATTGTTATTATATTTTATTATATTATATATATATTTTATTATATTAGATTTTAATATTTACAACTCATAATCTATTTTAAATTTTTATTTAATATCTGTTTGATTCTTCTTAAATATTAAGTGAGCGCTTCTTAATGAAGTTTTCACAATGATGTTTAAGAAGGTAAAAGAAGTGAAATCGTAGGCCATGTCACTCTTAGTTGTTAGTAACCTCAAGTATTTTGAAATAGTAAGTTTCTTGGTGCCTTGGAGAGAATTTCGTGCAGTACATAATTGAGAGGCATGTAGGTATATATGCAAATATAAAATATGCATATGTGTCTACTTATCTCGCATAATTATCATCCAAGCCTTTTGGCATTCCCTCCCGCCGTACACTACTTAGCATGCAAGACTGTACTTCTGTAGTTCAGTAGTTCTTTCGGCAATTGTTAGTGTCAACACCAGAAGCGTCTGTTGGATTGCTGTGCCTAGTAGTCGCACAAAAGAGTCTTTAGTGCGCAAACTAAGTTTACATACTTTTTCCTGCACTTTAGGAACTTTTTACCATATAATTAAATCTAATTATTTAAAACAAACTTTGCACGGAACGACTCATTTTAACTGTCATTGAAATCAGTTTCCACTGTTATGTTAAGTAAAAAATAGCAAAACTAAATACTTCAAACTTTTATCTCATATAATATTATTTTTATCTTGCAAAGAAAAACTTTCAACTTAACAACATAAATTGAAAAATAGTGAAAAACTTAAACCATCAACAATCAAGCAAATGAAAATGGAAAAATGGCAAAATGGAAAAGCAGAAAAATCCAAATGGAAATAGTAACTAACTCGTTTGCTCAAAAATTGTAAATAAACGTAAATAAATAAAAAAAATAAAATTATAAAAATAGAAATAAAAATAGAAATAAAAATAAAGCTTCACTACAAGAGAAGATACATAATGAAATGTGAAATAAAACTTATAGTTTTTCTAGATTTTATATCTACCATATTTTTATATTTTATATATTTTTTTATTTAATATTTTACTTTTTGTTTAATATTTTTAAGTGGGATTGCACGCCGAAAAGGCAGCACATCGGTTAATTGACAGCCGCGGGGTTGGCTATGAATTTTGCGAAGAAATGCGAAATGAATTTCAAAATACGAAATTAATTTTTGATTTGCAATGAGTTAAGCAACCTCAACAAAGGACCTCTAACTTGAATTAGCAGGGAAGCTCAAATTTTCGTTATTCGTTCCGTTTCGCTATTATGACCGTAAAAGCCTCATTTCCAGCAGCAAAGTACTTGGCTTGTTGCTTTGCGATTGTGCCAAGTACATTTCATGTTCCACTAGATTTAACTGACGAGAATACTTAGTTTTTCATTCCATGAAGATGAGGAACTTTTTTCTATGAAAATCCCACGAGTTTCACTTAAAAGAGGGCATCGGATTGTAGTTATGTTTCTATTTTGTGCAATACTTTTCACAATTACTGCCGAACCTTAAGCCCCAAATAATAATTATACGATGACAATTAATTAACTTACAAGTATTTTTTAAGTTTAATTCTTTAAAGCCCTAATTCTGGTCATTTTTAAATTGAAATCTTATATTCACAAAATATGGGTCTCGCCCGTGCGACTCGTGGAGTAACATTAGCATGACTTTCTCAGTATTACGTTTCTATGTTAGATTAGGTTCTATACATAAGAAACAATATATATATCATGCAACAAATAATGCCTCTACAAACAGAACAGTATTGAAATTTAATAATTAAAAATAAAAATGTAATAAATTATAATAATAATAATAATATGATTAATTAATTCAGTTATTCTACAGCTGGTTTTTGGTTTCGTTCTAATATAAATACAGCAAGTGAATTTGGGAATAAAAACTTTCACAGCAAATTAACAAAATTCCAGAAAAATGTGCGAACATAAAAGCCAAGTATAGCTTTGAGTCAGTTGATTAAGTAGCGCTGACTCTGAGCTTCAAATTTGGCAGGGCACAAGTTCGATTTCTGGTACTTGTGTGCAGTCTAAAAAAATTATTTAAGACTAATTAAATACAAGAACAATTTTCAAGACCACTGATAATGGGTTTTTGGCAACACCCGAAACAGCTGTATGGTTAGCCAAAAATTCAATTAATTAAAATAATATAAAAAGAATTTTTGTTGTTGTACTTCACTACTTTTCGAAAAAACCTCTTTAAAATTTTGCATTTAAAAAAAAAGAGCGGCAGAGCAATCAATAGAGATCATTTAAAAGTTATTCATTTAAATATATTCAAATCTGTTTTCGCAGTAAGAAATTAATTTTTATTTCATTAAAAAATAAAAACAAAACTACTTTTAAACTAAATTTATGTAAAACTTTAAATTTATGTAAAAGATAATTTATTATAAATATAGACGATAGAATAAAGAGGATGATTTAGATAAAGTTTTATTAATATTAATTTATGTTAGATCGCGATCCTTACGATGACTCTCAAGGAAAGTCGATATATAAAATATAATAAAAATTATTGAACGTTGAGTTATTTAACAAAAAAGGACCTATAGTCGGATTAAAAAATATAAAAAAAAAATATAATAATATATTATATTATATATAATTAATTATTAATTATATAATTATACTATAATAAATATTATTTCACTGAACCTAAAATAACGCTGAGTCCGGCAAAAGGATTAAACTGATAGACTCAAAGAGTTGAATATAACTTGCGAAATTATATGTCCACTACCACAAAAACTGTCAACTAGGGAATAAAATATTCTAGGATATAAGATAATTTTTCTTTATCGTTCACATAAAAAAATTTGTTGTTTGTGTAATCATCATGAAATAGAAAATATATATCATATTATTGGTGTATGTCTAATTTTCAGAGAACGTAGACGTATTTTTTTTTGATAAAACACTTCTGTCCGAAGAAGAAGTTAAAGTCTTGTTGTGGCAACACAAAATGGTGGCAACACTAATAATTAAGTTACTGATGATTAGTTATTGATGAATTTATATGAATAATAATGTTATAATAATGTGGGCCACTTTTTATATGCCAATCTGACAGACAACAAATTTCTATAAGTGCTGTATGAATTTTTGAATCAATAAATACTAATAAATAATAGAAATAAAATAAAAAACTTTGTTAATTATTTTTTGCCGCTCATAATGTAATAATATCGGATTGAGATACTATCTACGAGTGCAGTCTATGAAATAACCTAATAATCTCACAGCGTACACATCTACAACACTGAAAACCGATATAATAATAACACGATGCAAATAGTGCTTGCTTCCAGCACTATAATTCATCGTCAAATAGGCAAATTGCTAGCTGTGTTGTTTATGGCCATTGACAAGCCACCTGTTTACACCACCGAATGGAAAAGGAAAAGGACAATACGCTCCATCAATATAACTTTTGTTGATATGAACAATGTTGAGGGTATACCATATGTACAAGTATATAAGTAAATATTTTTTAAATGTCTTAATTTAAAGAAATAAAAATGCTTTAATTTGTCTTGACATGTCTGGAATCACATATGTACGGGCATATTAATCGCATATTTATAATCAATTTACACAAGTACGAGTATGAGCACATGTTTGAAGTCGTAAATATGTTTAAGCTTGAGTACTCGCATGTTGAGTAGATAGCTTGTGTCGTGCGTAGTCGATTCTCTTCCACTTTGTTGGTTTTCTTACTTGAAATATTATTAAGATTATATGATATAGATTTTATTTTTAATACTTACGGCAAACGGCAATAACAATTCATGCGTCTCATTGCCACGCCACAGATGGGAGTCCTGTGTCACATTTTGTATTTCGCATTCCAAGGAATTGATTTTCTCCTGTAAACGATTGAGGAGACGTGGGTGTGCAATTGGCTTTGATGTTGATTTTGTCAGATAAGCTGCGTAAGATAATGTGTCACCAGTAATAGCAGTTCTCGAAATTGTATGAGTAGTATCAGGAGCAGCAGCGCCATTAAAACCAGCAGCAAATCCAGTAGAGGTAGAAGAAGCAGAAGTAGTGCTAGTTGTTGTAGTAGAAGTAGTAGTAATAGTGGCATTAACTGATTCAATTGATATAGACGGCAATGGCGTTGCGGTAGCAGTAAATGTGGGACGCCAATTGATTGTGGCAATTCTAGCAGAAGATTTATTGAGGACATTAACAACAGGAATGGTTAGAGTATTGCTTGCAGTGGTTGGCGCAGTAGTCGAAGTGTTAGTGTCAGCTGTAGTAATAGATGGTGCGATTATTGCTTGTATGTTGCTGTGTTTACTACTATTATTGGTAGTGTTACTGTTGCCGCTACTGGTACTGGTACTGGTACGGGTACGGGTGTTGGTGTTGGTGCTGGTGCTGGTACTGTTGATTTTTGTTGTGTTGCTCGCATTAAGTTTGGCTTCAGTTGATATCTGTACAGTTGCAGTTCTCGTTGTAGTAGTGGCGGCAGCAGCTGGAATCTGATTAGGAATCGAAGTAGGAGTAATAATAGCTGGTGTACCTTTATGTCGGATAAAATTTGTTTGTTGTTTGGCGCGTTTCACTTCCCTATGATTTTTATTTAAATATGTTGCTACTAATGTTTCCCTTAGTTTATATTCATCATTTCCAACTACTGTAGTTCTTATTGTTGTGCTGGTTGTGTGTGTTGTGTGGGTTGTGTGTGTTGTGTTGGTTGCATCCTTTGCTGTTGTAGTTGGTACTTTAAGCTCAATACTTGCTGGCATCTTAATAGTTAAATGCATTTGCTTGTCAAAGTCTTTTGTATTTTTTAAAACTTTGTGTTGTTGATTCGATACTGCAGTTGCTATATTGCTGGTAATATTGTTCGTAAGCGGGTTTCTGTTGCTGATAATACCTTCGGTATTACTGCTATTGCTTGTAATGTTATATGCGGCAGCAATTAGCGTACCTTGCTCTATATCGTAGTGCCTTTGCCGAAGCTGCCGCTGCCGCTGCCGCTGCAATTGCAGTTCTTCTTCTTGTTCCTTTTTGCGTTGCAACATTTCATTCTGGAACTCTTTGTTGTTGTAAAATTTTGTTGTGGAAAATTCCGGTTGAACTTTTGTTATTCGTACAACATTTTTATGAGCAGCTGCAGCAACTTGAGTGCCAGCTACAGCGACACTGTCGACAGGAATGTTGCTTCTGTTGGTGGTTAGTGTAAATTGCGCTTGCAGTAAGTTGCGTGTATCAATTTTGAATTTTGTATTGGCGAAATCAATGTGTGGCAAGGACATAACGTCGCTAGCTTCACGGTGCCGTTGCACTGGCTTGGGAAAACTTTTTTTAACACGTCGCTCCATGAAATCTTCTGTACCAACTAAAGCAACAACTTTTTTGTGCGACTGCCCTAAGCCCAAGTTGACGTTGCTCTTATTTATATTCCGTGCACTAAGAGGCTCATGTATTTGCTGAGCCAAAGTTGTGTTGTCGTTAGTTTGAGTTTCGAGGATGTGATTCTTCTGATGCATCGCAACAGTGTTTCGTTCTTCACTTAAAAAATAAGTTGGTACATTCTTGTATGCAATTTTTGTTGCTGCTGCTGCTGCTGCTGCTGCTGTTGCTGTTGCTGTTGCTACTTGAAAATCAGATTCTTTTTTCAAATTACCAAATTTTACTGACTTTTGCTGCATATGGGGCATATGGGGCTTTTCTTTATTACGAGCAACCTTCCGTTCCGTCAGCTGTGTTGCTGTCGCGGCTGTAGCACTTGTCAAATTCGCCATATTGCTGACGGCATTTTTGCTATTGTTGTTATTGTTATAATTGTTTCTTTGATTACTGTTCCTTGGTGTAATCACGTTGTTGGGTTCAGTATACTGCAGCATTTCCTGTTGCACTGTTAAATGCTTCATTTGTTCAGTGTTAGGATGTACAAAAAAACTTTCTGCACTTGACGGTTGCTTGAACTCAGCACTCTTTACAATTTCAGTAGACCCTGATACATGCACATATTCATTCTTGGGCAAGTTGGTGGCATGTTGCTTGTAAGCTGTATGGTTTGCTGTGCTACGTTTTATTGGTTCCACAACTGGGCTTGTTGCACGTGTAAAAGTCTTGCGGTTGCCCACACTCTGTTGCAGTCTTCTATTGCTCTGTTGCTGGTTGGTAGTACTAATTTCAATCGATTTACTGTCCAGTTTTATTGTTTTCCCCCAAACAGCACTGTGCATGTTCTTATTTTTGGTGATGTTGCTGTTGTGAAGGAAGTTTGCCGACTGTGCATTTGATAAATTTGCCAAATTTGAATGCATATCCTTTATCTTTGTTTCCTCAAAACGCTTCGTTGTTGCTTCCGCTTCAGTTGCTCGCATGGAACCAGTGTTTGATGTTGCTGCTGGCGAACTTGTACTTGCAGGCACCTTTGCTTTCACATCGAATTCCGTTCCTGTTTCTAATGCTGCAAATGCAGTCACGTATCTTTTTTCAGTTGCTGTTGGTGCAGCAGTTTGTTTGCTTTGCGTATTTGCAACGCCACTTACGTGCCCAGAAATTTCAAGGCATAGCAGCCCGCAAATATACACTAAAACATTTATTTCTGGTACTTTTAAAAACATTTTTTAATCGGTCCCAATATCGTTTATGAATTTCAATTAGTCGCAATGCTCCTAGTTTATTTTCGCGTGCTGCAAATAATAAATACAAAACGAACGTGTGAGCAACGTACCATATTGATTTTGATTTATGAAAAAATTCACATTAAATTATGCTTAATAATAATTTATTAATTTATTTTCAATTTTACTTGATTTATGCATTTCCATTATAAAAATTAAGCCCACTAGCATTGAATTCAATTAATTTGCATGCAAACTGACAAAACAATTAATTACACTCAGTTTTAAGTAAATTTTAGTACATAATCGCGAATGTCGATAAAAGCTTCTCTGTTTTTTACAGGACAACGATTAACAATTGTAATCGAGTAATTAAGTTGATATTACAAAGAAACCCATTACATTATTCCTATATTGTGCAGTACCTAATGGACACTCCAGCGTAAAAGTAACCATCCTTGCCATTAAATAATATGCGTCACAAACAATGATCAGAACAAAAATAAATAAATTATTTAATAAATTAAAGCAATGGCCTAAAGTATTGCCTTAATTGTTAATAAATGCATTTATGAGATGAGATAATGAAAAATTACATATTCAATAAAAAAATAATAAATGGAACTATATTGATTATAATCAGTACTAAAGGAAACATTCACAGAATGACTTTAAGCGACTATATCGACTTACTTCAAGATGGGGTATATATGTACATATAAGAATAATTATTTCTCACTTATAAAATATATTATTTCAGAGTGAAAATGTTTTTATTCAACAATTATACATAAGCATATATTTAACACCAGAATAAAATACTTCAATCCTTCTTTTAAATTGATTCGCTCCAGCCACACCCACGATACCATACCCAAGATATTTAGGCATGCTATTAACCATGCTGAGGGCCTGGTCGCTTTAAAAGTGTTCTATTTAAAAATTCAAAGTCGATATTTAACTGCACACAGTATATGCAGCGAATCATCAGCCCTAATCAAATGATTGACAAGAAGTTTAAGTAGCATCCTTCACATGTATGTCTGTAACCATTTTCCATTATAAACATAGCGACTTAAAAAAGAATCTTTCCTATTTTTAGCACATAACTCATTGGATGTTTTCTCGAATTCATTATAGGTATGTGGCTCAGATCCAAGTAATTTGTGGTCTTTCAAATCACCTGCTATCTTGAGCTTACATTCTAACAATGCTTAATATATTTTAACAATAAGGACTTCTCCAATAAACTTAATATTTGTCTTTTAATTTGAGCAATGAGTGTTTTTTGGAATTTACCAACTTTTCATTCAATTTAACATATATTTGGTTCTAAGGGAGCATATTTTTATTATATGATGTATGCTTTTGTGTTCTTTATATTTATAATGCAAGTTTTCAAAGGGGACTCGTGCTTTTTGGATGTTGTTCTGTGTATTGTCAACTGGGCTATAGTCAATATAGATGATGCTTTCCACATAACAGAAAGTATTAATGATCTAAATTCTTTATAGTGCAAGATAGTGGTCTTGAGTCTTGATGTGCATATCGTTGGGGTGCTACAAGTCTTTCAGCCTTTGATTTACTCTGAATAATAATTCGCCAGTATGAAGGCAAAAGAGCATATACATTCTTAATTAACGCTGGTTTGCAATTAAAAAAGTTAGTTTATTTGACTCTGTATATGATAAGCAAAGCTACCGACTTTACTATCTAGAAGCTATATGTTGCTCAAAGTCACGCTCTCCGAAGACTCTTCAAAGTGCCATGATACATTCACACGAATGACATGCCTAAGGTCTCTTAGCATCTTAGATCCGGTCCAAAATACATAAGGGACAGAGCCCTGAAGCTATATGCGAAAATCGGCAGGCTGCGTTACTTAGCTCTATCCAACCTCAGACTAATCACTAACTGCACGGGGCGGTACGCAGATCTTAGATTAGTCATTGAATAATGACGAAGCTTATGGAGGATACACAAATAAGTCAGTGAGATGGATGGGACTCTGAAAAAATTCCCCACCTATCAAAGAGTGAAAGTGCTCAGATGCACTAACTCGGAAAATTTTCAACATAATAATTAATTTTGTACAGTTCGGCTACCGTTCGTCTCTACAGCTTTCTAGATAGTATTGCGATTGATATCATCAAAAGCTTTTGCAAAGTCGACAATCACGAGTTATAGAGTTGACTAATATTTACCAAATTGCTTGACTATGATTCTCTACTCGCCAGTTGCTGTATATGTTCATTAGATTTATAATACATTGCCTTATAAATCAATATTATATTTCAATATTGATTTATGAGTTCTTTCATAATGGGATCAAATTCAGATAGCAACTAAACTATTTTCGAGAAATTGTCATTGTTATACTCAAATCTCGCCTTGAGTAATCGCGATAAGGCTATTAGTTACTTGCTACGACTCCCAAAAGAATCTCGTGGCATTGTTTGGTTTCGGCGGTAATAATTCTTAGACCTTCAGATTATCAGATTATTTGTAGGCATGATTTTTGGACGTAATTTAAATTCACGCACTGTAAATATGGAGTAATGAAAAAATAGAGATGTTAAATATTTTATTAATTAGATATTCAACACATCAATATTTATGAATTAAAATTACAAATTTAACTGAAATAATCATTTTTGCTGTCTTTATTTTATTATATAAAATTTTAAAATTTTTTAAACCTTTAATGCGATAGTGTATTTTTAATTCAGATTTATTGCGGTTAGTGGCTAACGCCTAACCACAACTTTAAACTTAAAAGTACTAAAAAAAATAAATACTTAAATATAAACAATTAAATATCAATAAATTTATATAGTTCATTCTTTGAATTGAACTAATATTAATTTATTAAATTAAATTAAATTCATGTTAATTTTTTCTTGCCAAAAGTGCCGCGTCTTTATGACAAAAAGAAACTACTTAAAAGTTAGACAGGTTCGAATAGCAAAGAAAACACAAGGACAAAAATTTATTTAATTTATTGAAATTTGGCTGACTATAGAACGCTGTTTCGAGTATTGCCAAGGAGTCATCATCTATGGTCTAGGGAAATATTCGAATTTCTTAATTAGTTTATATGATGATGAGTACTTGTTAATATCGAAACAGAGTTCTATGGTCAGCCAAATTTCATTAAATTAAATAAATTTTTTTTTTGCCTTTTCTTTGCTATTCGATTCCGTCTAAATTAAATTAAATTTTGAAATGAAACATAATTTGCAGGTTCATAAACATTGCAGGCTAATAACAGATATTTATCACAGAAAAAGCTTAAGTGGATGAATGAAATTTTTAATGGACTAAAGAGGTTACAATTTTTGAGTAATTACAGCCCAGGAAAGAAAGTATTATTTTTTATTTAATCATTGTTTATAAAATCAGTACTGAAAGATTCGACTGCCATCTAAAACAAAAATATAATTCAACAATCTACAAAAGTTGAAGTCTAGTAATCCTAAACAAGATTTACTTCGAAACAAGTCTTATCAAGAATCAACAACTGTATATAACGCAACACAATTATTTTACATAATACTTTAACCTGCCATGCTGAAAAACAAATTCATAATGCATACTTAGTTTAGTTTAGATTACTGGGGCCGTTCGAAGACGCACTTAGACAATGAGTTCCATTGTAATACCCTTAACAATTTAACACCTGTCACTATAACCATTCAGTACTGGCCGCAAAGCCATTGACACGAGCTAAAGAAATAGAATTTAGCTCTCTTACTGCATTGATATAGTGCGACCCTAAGTAGGAGAGTCTTGCGAAAGCAGGACACACTTAAGACCATCTAAGCCTGGGTTATCGACTCAAAAAAAATGAATCTAGTATATGCAGCAAGCTTTCGTCTCTATATGGAGGGGACGAAACTGCTGGTCACATTTTTTGTGATTACCCGGATTTACGTTGGATCGAAACGGCAGTAGAATGAAACAACAGTTCTGGTTTCTGTTCGTAGATAGGAACTACACAACGAAGGGTATTATAGCTTTTGTACGAAAGATTGAAAGATACTTATTTCCTCTACATCAATAAAAATCATCAAGTATTTTTCAGCAGTATTGATTTAAAACGGTATTGAGATCCAAGAATGTTAAACTTAGCACCTCTGGACGAAAAATTGTTCAAGCGTCGAATTATTCAACTATTCAATTATATATAAAAGGGCTAAATTATATCAAAAATTAACATTTCCAGGTTGTACTTCAAGTTTTTGTATAAACCTAAAAAAACTGCTTCTGCTTTAAAATCAAATGACTTATGAACTTAAACTAACCATACATGAAATGCGACGGGTTTTTTTAAATCCAAAAAAATCAAATATTATAATTTTATAAATTAGAATCGTATATATATCAAAACTTTTTAACCAAATATTTACATTTAGTGAATACAACAAACACAAAAAAAAAATGATAAGCCAACATAAGCAATTGTTAATATAAGATATCATCGTCATCTATGACAAGAAGTCTGATGTCTCCATTGACGGAAGTAGTACGGCCCAATTATACTACCAGTTTATAGTTTATAGATGACTCCAAACAGTGCATTTTCCAAGATGAATCAGTAGTTGATTGATAAACATCGAGTCACTTCTACTTAAAGGAGGACTATATTTTTTTACAGCTATTTATACAATTTCACAGGATTTCTCACTGGGCATTGCAGAGTTAAAAGGGATCTATCGAGCCTAGCTATTACTAGAGACGATAGCTGTAGGCTTTAGCAAACAGCAGAACACATTTTGTGTCTGACGTGACTGTCACAGTGATAACGGAATTTGGCAACATCTCTCCAAAGAACATAATGGTGTTTTTAACTGCTACTTGTCTATGAAACTAAAGTGGGGATGTCACAATAATCCTTAAAGGATGCAGTGACGTGGTGACAAGTCCCAATCCGTTTTAAAATCTAATCTAATAATATAATTAATTTATAATAAATGAAAAATTCATAAGATCATAAGTAA